CCACGGATGGTGGGCGTTTTCAAAACAATTTAGTTCAAATACACTTTTGGTCTAATTGTTCTTCCTTTGATTTATTTGTCCCCTCTCACATGTACCATAAGCAGCAAGAAGAACCCAGTTGACATCTTTGGCACCTTACTGGGCAGTGACTTTGCTGTGCAGTCCATGATCACAACCTTGGTTGGCAGCATCCTGGCAAGACACGATTTTCCTGAGCTTTCTGCCACTATAGACCAGGGATTCTCTTTCTTTCAGTTTCTGACAACAGATCTGAACTGCCCTCTGGGCCTCCAGGCCCCACGAGTCCAATTTCCTACCATCTGGGCGGGCAGTCTAGGCTTTACCCTTCAGGCTCCTATAAACACCTCTGACCACAGGAGCTCAGACTGCTCCTGTGCACCCATGATTGTTACAGCGCAGCCACTGTAACAAAATGCCATGAACCAGGTGGCTTATAATCCACAGAATTTCATTTCTTACAGTGCTGGGGTTTCAAGTTCAAGATCCAGGCACGACAAATTTGGTATCAGTGAAGTGAGGGGGGTGCTCTCATAGATTCCTGTCTTCTCACTCCAACCTCACATGGCAGAGGGCTAAGTGGTCTCCCTTGGGCTCTTCTGTCATGGGACAACCCCATTTCCAAGGGCTCTGGCCCCCTGAAATGATCACCTCACAGAGGTCCCACCATCTCAGGGGGGTGAGAGTCTCCATATATGGATTTTTGAAATGACAAAAACATAGATTAAGTATTATCTATATTATTATTTGCTATATTATATTATGTATGCAATTATATATTACATAATATAAGCACAGAATTTGTATAGTTATGTCTATGGTTTGAATGGGGTTTGTGACCCCCTACAGGACTTAGGAGTTAAAACCCCACTTGGAAGTATTAAGAGGGTGGAAATTGAATCTGACGATGGATTTTAGAAGTGAAGTCTTTGAGAAATGGTTGGGAATGGATAAAATCATCAGATTAGATTAAATCCTGGTAACTATAGAAGAGGGGAGAGACCAGAGGGTAGACATGCACACACACTGAGCCATTTCTTACCATGTGATGCCCTTCATGACCTTGGGGCTCTGCCAGCACCAGATGCAGTCCTGGACTGTTATGGTTCGGATGTGAGGTGTCCCCCAAAAGCTCACATGTGAGATGATGCATGAAGTTTCAGAGGAGGAATGATTGATTGGGTTATAAGAATCTTAACCCAATCAGTGAATTAATTCCCTGATAGGGATTAACTGAGTGGTAACTGAAGTGGTAGGGTGTGGCTGGGGGAGGTAGAAACTGGGGTGTGGCTTTGGGTACATATTTGTTTCTGGGAAGTGGAGTCTCTCTCTGCTTCTGGATATGATGTGAGCTTCTTCCTTCCGCTATGCTCCCCGCCCTGATGCTCAGCCTCACCTCAAGTCCTGAGGAATGGAGCTGGCCTGCGATGGTCTAAGACCTCTGAAACCCTGAGCCCTCTAATATCAGGAAATACCTTGATTTCAATGAATAAGGACCTGGTCTATGCCCACATAGTTTATTACCCATGATTCCATGTTTGTTTCATCTAATGGTAGAATTTTGTATGACTTTAGCCAATGAAGCAGAAACAAAACATCATGATAAAAAAAAGCACTTCAAACACCCTAATCTATTCAGGATGCTACAGCTACATGCCACAGCTCATCAACAACAGAAAGACGGAGCTCACAGTTCTGGGGGCTGGAAGTCCAAGATCAAGGCTCACGCAGCCTTGTGTCTGGTCAGTGCCCCTTTCCTGGCTCACAGTTGGAGCAGCTCCCTGTGCTACACAGCAAGGAAGAAGAGCCAAAGCAGCTGAGACCTTTCATCAAGGCACAAACCCCTTTCACGTGGCATCTGTCCTCATAACTGAAGAGTCTCCCAAATACCTAAAGCCTCACACTGGTGATTAGATCTCCAATATGGGCATTTGGGGAAGACAGACAGCCAGAACACAGTGGTCAGCATGACACTGGGGGGTGTGCAAAGGTTGTGGTGGAGGCTTACTGTAACTGTACAAGGTGATCACAAGAATGCCATCTAACTCTCCCCAACTCTAGTGGTCATTTATCCACTGTAGAGGCACATCAAGGGTCAGGGGCTCTTTTCCCCTAGGCAGGAAGAACACAGTGGCTCACTCACCAACACTGGATTGACTCCCAGAGACGATTTAATCTTTTCAGAGCCAATAGATATATCAGAAAATATTAATACGGTTTCAAATACCTACAGAAATAAAGATGCACTAACTCTCACATATTACTCAGCTCCAGAAGTGAAAACATGGTTCACAACATGCTCTTGGAACCTGACATCACGTGGGGAAGGACGTTGATCACACCTACATGTGGTGTGGTATCAATTTGCCATTTCTTATATATGTAGGCCACTAAAGATTCATAGAATTTAATAATCTATTGTAGAATTAAAAAGAACCACAGATGCTAGTGATTTTTTGTTGTAGTACTGAACAGAGTAGTAGACCAGTCATGCTGGAAGCCAGTTGACGGTCCATTTCCAGGCTAGTCACTATCCGCAGCCTCCTTACGGGTACCCATGCAGTTCTTCTAGCTCACAGCTCACATGACCTAGGCAGCTCCCCTCTAGTTGTGCTCAGTAGCTCCCTGTGTTGGTCCAACACTGATCTGACCTTAGGCGTTGATCCACATGCCGGAGCACGCGTCTGTGTAGCTATCACACTGTGAACCACAACACAGAGCCCAAGAGGAGCACACCTTCTCTCTGGCGTTTGTCATGACCCCGCTGGTTTCCCATCTTCGTCAGTTTCCTCCAGTTGACTACTCTCCTCGAGAAAACCCAGAAAAGAACAGACGGCACCTCTTCCATTTTGACCAGGCAACTTCCATGAGCCCACATTTTGTATAATTATTGCATTTCCTTAATACACAGCTTAATATGATTTTTGTCTATATAGTTTGGCTCATATTGAGTCTAAATGAATCTTTAAATCTTAAGAGTCAAGATTCCTCCATGCTCTTGTTTAGTTGATTTTTAAAATATAATAATATATTTTTCATTTTAAGCCTAAAGCATTAAAAAATACAGTTCTGATAATAATTCCAGATTTTTCATGATATTTTAAAAATCTAGAATATGTATGTCATCTAACATATTAGATTGCCTTCCATATTTTTGTCATTTAAATTGAATTAAAATGGTATTGTCCAAAATGGGGAAGAATATTGAATAAATAAAAGACCCTATGGAGTGGCCAAATATAGCCGATATATATATATA